TCCAGCCAAACTCGAACCGTCGACCTTGTCTGTGGGGGGACGGGAGCTTATCCATTAAGCTATGGGACCCGAACCCCGTTGTACCATATTTATAAGGATTATTATCCGTAACATTTTCAAACCAGAGGCAGCGAGTTCCAAGAATATGGTAAGCCGTGTATGCAATATGCCCAACTGTATCAAGACCTTCGGAACCGGCGTAACCAGATATAGTTTCATTAACAGATTTTGTGCACCAGACAAGTTCTCTTTGTCCTGTCCACATAATTCGTCTGTTTATTGGATTATTTCGAAGTGACAAAAAAGTATCAGAATAAGTTATCATTATATCAAGTATTTGAGGGTTTTGGGTAACTTCATACATTAAACCTAAAGCTTCTACATCTTGACCAGCGTACCCATCCGCTATTGTATTATTCAGCGCAGTTGTGGGTATTCTAGAAGGCTGTCCTAGAAAACTATTGAATGAATCAATTTCATTCTGGGTAACAGGACCCCAAATATCGAATGACATATTTGTATCACTAGGAGGTACCCATGGTGGTCTGGGTGGACATCTCAGTGGATATTATAGCAAAAAATTAAAATAAAAAATAAAATTATTATAAAATTCATTTTCTAAGATTATAATTTTGAGAATTTTCAAAACTTTTGAGTGATAAATTTATTACATGAAATAAAACTATGAAATAATATTTTATGCCGTTAAATAGTTCTTGTCTACGTATAAAATTATTTAGGATTTGCCGATCAAATTTATTTAATCAAATTCGTTTTGACTATACAATTACAAGGTTTGATCAAACTGAGGTATCTCGGGATTTAGTGGCCCAATTTGATGATCGAATCATCACATTGAGACAATTAAATCCCGAGATATCTCGGTTCGATCAAAACTAGTATTTGTATAGTAAAAATGATTTGATTGAATATTACAAAATCCCATAATAATGACTAGCGCTAGGCAAAACCAAGTAAATTCAAAATTTTAAAAATGTTCTTAAGCTTGGCATACTGTTTATATTTGAAAATCAATACCACAAGAAATATTGGGCTAATTTTAATATTACCATTATTAGAAATGTAAATAAGCATGTTCTTTAAAAAATTAAAATTTATACTTAATTTGGGTAATTATTTTTGAACCCGGTCCAATTTTATATAGGACGTAATAACATTTTGGTCTTGATCCAAAAATAATTAATTACCCATTTATTTTGAAATAAACATGTCACTTATTTTATTTGAAATCGGGTGTCAAATCATTAATTCCGAAAACTCTTATTTGAATATTTTATTTAAAATCGGGTGTCAAATCATTAATTTCGTAACCTCTTACTTGAATTTTTTATGTCAAGTTTTTAAAATTTGTGATTTTGTTAGCACTAATTAGGATGATATTCTATTTATTTTGATTTATTTAATTTTTTTTTTTAAAGGATAAACGGTTTAGAAATTACTCTTATGGATTTTCTTAATGCGCTATTGTCGATCTTAGTAAAGTCCGCGTATAAAAAAATATTGGGCAAGCATCGACAAATAACAGTGCAAATGATTGGATGGCACGTGCAATGTCCATTGTTGGTGATCTAGACATGTCGCAAAAACTATTTCGGCATTGATTTTTAATATAAAACCGCTGTAGTAACTCAGCGGTTTCATATCATAAGTCAATGCCGAAATAGTTTTTGTGACATGTATACTACGATCATACTTATTTGGGATAGGGATGCTAACAGTCCATACTGGTCCAGTCTGGTCTATTTTGGTACAGGTCTGGTCTGGTCTATTATGATCTCTATTCTTAAGACTTTGTTAGTTCAGACTAGGGATGGCAACGGTTACGGTTATGACCGGTCATGACCGGTCATAACCGTAACCGATACCGGTCGGTCAGAGACCCTTGACCGGTTAAAAATTTGATTAATTAACAACATACTAAAAAAAACGGAACTTTTGATCGGCATAAATTTGCACGCTGGTTGGTTATTTATTCTTGATTTGATTGGTTTAATTGGATCAGGTGAATTACGTACGATTGACAAAATAATTACCGAACAATTATGATCATGAGAAAATTCTTAAAAAAAAGAGGGCTCTGTTTGGTACAGTAGTTCAGTCATAAATGTAATGCATGCGTACGTACGTACATATATCAGATATGTAATAGCGTGACTACCAATCGAAGGTGAGTCGCATGGTCTTCGACCAATTTTTTTATTCTAAAACAACCTACGCAAGGCAAATTGTACGATTTTTTCTTCTTTCCCGTTCATTTGTATTTGATATCAATATTTTGACAAAAAATAAATGTTGGTCTTTGTTTAATAATCTATACTATTCAATTCTGAGTTCGTATGCTTTAACGTTTTTGATTGGTTGTATCCGAATCCACCTGTCTGAAAGTGTGATTTATTCACATGAACCTGAGAGTATCAATGCATGATAGGATATATATTACATATTGTCCAAGATAGTATGATGAAATAATATCGAGATAGTATGATGAAATAATATCGTAATCCAAGGTATTACTTGAATGTGTGCCAGGTTTATGGCGCAACACAAATTCGTTCATATTAGAGTTAGGGTTAGTGTTATGGGCTAAAGAAGGGTAGTTTGTATAGTAAAATTACCCACCGAAAACGTTTTGTTAGAGCACCAAAAGTAGTAAGCGAAACGAACATTTGTTTTTAATTTTTTTGATCGTATTACGATGACCTGATCTTGAAATCTGATTCGTAATTCAGTAAATCTACGCCACAAACCCGGCACAATTCAAGGGGTGCTAATCCAAGATAGTATGATGAAATAATTTGATAACAATCAGGAAGTATTCATATGATTGACTGTTTAAATTTATTTAATTTTACATTATTTCTACAGTTTAAAGTACAATAAAACTACGAAGA